TAAAGATATAACATACCAAAAAATTAAAAAAAAAACATAATCATATCAAACAGGAGATAAAGAATTCATATTGTGGTGTCAAGACTAAAAATCCTTTGCTTAGGCCCATTTATGATATAAGGAAATATTAGTTTTCCTTACATTAATCATAGACTGCGAAATCGTCTTCGTTCATATTCTTATTATATCAATTCCGAACCAAGATATCTTCGTGCACTCTCTTTAATTTTCATTTTTGGCAACAAGATCTCACGCCAAAGGGGCAACATTGATTAAGCATGACAACGTGCATAACCTGCATTGCATGTCAATTGGAGAATAAACTAAGTATAATCTTAGGGGAAAAGAGAGAATAGAAGATGCTTTTTAATTGCCCCTACAAGCCAGATCTCATGGTTCAACGAAAAAGCATTTAGTAATAGTAGCATGGATTGAAGGTCGGGTCGGGTAAATTGATTAAAAAGTCATGTCCAAGGTTATCCCTAATATTATAAAATGACTTAAACTTTTTTCCACAAAATGATTAGATCTAGAGAACTGCCTGACTCGTGATCAAATTTACTCGAAAATAAATCATACATAATTAATGGAGAACAGAAATATTTACTATCAGAGAATGGCTTTTCACGGCGTGCTAGTCAAGAAACTTGAAGTGAGTTGATGTGATTGACTAGTGGTGCGGGATTATGACGACAAGCAGTGGCCCACACGTCCTCCGACATTGCCCAGCTCGTAGATGTGGCAAGCAAGCTTATGCACCCGACACTGAGATGATAGTGATGTTAAACATGTTGAGGTGCATGTGTAATTATGTTAGGTCAAAATAGTTTCAAATTGGAGATATGATATAAGGTGGAGCAGTTAATATATCGTAATTGATTCATAACTCAAATCTCTTAGGTATTGTATCGAAGCATAGGGTTATTGTTGATTGATTTTTCTGAGGATTTTATCTATCTTCAATTATTGCTTTGGCTTCTGTGAGATTTGAGTTCACTAGAGGAAATATTTTTAGCTTCTAAGGTGCTGCTTGAGACACAAGGCTTGGCTTTAGCGTCATGGGAGATGATAGGCTTGCCCAGGTATCAAAGTGGAAGAAAACGCCAAGATGTTGAAAAGATTTTAAACTTTTGAGTGAAAATAGATCTAATTGAATATATTGACATATTCGAATTTGAGCTCTCTTAGAGATCTCCCCTCATAATTATGAGACTTATGTTGCATCAACCCAACACGTGGTACAAAAGCCAGTGGTTTGGCTGGGCTGGGCCCAAAAAAGGCGTGATTCGGCGTTTGGTGATTATCTCAAGGTGATTAAGGTATAATTTATGAGAAGATGTTGTTCCTCCCTAATATCTGTCAAACTTGGCCAGGCTAAGATGAAGATTCAAGTTGAGATAATGTTGGTGGGGAAGGATGTCTACATTAAAAGGGAGTGGGCTAAACAATAGGGTAACACTCAAGGTAAAGATTTGTTGAAGTGTGTGTAAAGTAGATCAGTTAATGTATCTTAATCGGTCTATAACCCACAGACTTCAAGTTTTCTATTGATAATGGGTCGAACTAAATATATAGACGAACTCGAACTCTCCCTCGATAATCTATCCAAACGAAGGTATCCAGAGTTCCGTTTCTGCTGCTCCTCCCAAACATAATCTGCTGGGCTTTTGACACTGCAAGTGTCTCGTTGGGTCTTAGGAGAGAATCGAAGTAATTGGACCGACGGATTGACTGAAAAAGTTATACTGACCCAAACACTGCTCTCAAGTCAACTTACACCAGGATCACTTAGATATATTGGGTCAAATCAAGACGCTTTTGGCCACACAAATTATAATATGATGAGATGATAATGTAATTAAAAGATCTAGAGAAAATGGTACACGAAGAGGGTGGATTGCTTAGCTACAAGGGCGCACCCAAAAAAAAATGCTATCCGATTCAGATCATCATTTTCATGACCTATGATTGGTCTGATTGACCCTAAAGATCTTGAATGATTAAATTAAAAAAAAATTAGTTTATTTGTGGGACCAAAGCTTTTCAATTTATCTTTACCTGAAGTTGTATGAGTGGTTGAGTTATTTTTTTCCCAATGGGAACATATAAACTAAGATATCCTGAAAAAAAAAAAAAGTGGGTTTGGGAGCTTCAATTAAGAGACAATGCGCACCCTAAAAAGAAATTGGAATTAGCTCAACATGTTCATTTGTTTCCTTGTTTTACGTTCTATAGTTCTGACCTAGTTGAAACACTTTGGCCTAGTATTGGTGGCCGGGAAAATTGTCAAAAAAATCCTAAATCTATTGTACGGCGGTCAATTCAATCCCAAACATTTTAAGTTTGCCAATTTAGTCATAAACCTTTTTAATTCTTGTCAATTCAGTCCTTCCGGCCAATTTTGGCTGGTCGGCGCTGACGTGGCCGCCGGGCGGCGCTGACATGGCAATTTTTTATTATTATTTTTCAATTTTTTAATCTTTTTTATTCTGATTTCTTCCTCTGGCCAGTCCGGCGACCGGCGACTGGCGGCCGGCCAGAGGGGAGGGCCGAGGAGAGGCCGACCTCGCCGTCGCCTGGGTCGCGACGGCGAGGTCGAGCCTCGCCCAGATCTAGCGAGGCTCGACCTCGCCATCGTGACCCAGGCGACGGTGAGGTCGGTCTCGCCGCTGCTGGGCAAGGCGAGGCCCAGCAGAGGCGAGGTCGAGCCTCGCCCAGCTCTGCTAGGTCGAGCCTCGCCCAGCTCTACTAGGTCGAGCCTCGCCCAGCAGCGGCGAGGCCGACCTCGCCGGCCCTCCCCTCTGGCTGGCCGCCGGTCGTCGGTGGCCGGACCGGCCAGAGAAAGAAATCAGGAAAAAAAAAAAAAGATTTAAAAATTGCCACGTCAGCGTTGGCCGGACGGCCGGCGGCCACGTCAGCGCCAGTCGGCCAAAATTGGCCGGAAGGACTAAATTGGCAAGAATTAAAAAGGTTTAGAACTGAATTGGCAAATTTAAAAGGTTTAGGACTGAATTGGCCGCCGTACAATAGGTTTAGGACTTTTTTGACAATTTTCCCATTGGTGGCCTTTGCTAGGTTTCTAAAGGGCACATAAGCTAGGAGACATATGGTCTATTCATTTCATGAGTCGTGCTTGCTTTACCATATTGTCGTGCGAATCAACACCTTTAAGGATTTGGCAGAAATTTTAGATAATTCTTTGAGTGCACGAAGTGTCTCATTCAACATGCCGAGTAAACACAAGCATGGCCTAGGTATTTGGCCAAAACAAAGAGAAATGGCTCTGACTCATTGTCTGAACAAGTCGGTAAACCAAAACTAATTGTGGTAACAATACGTCACTGGATTGGTTTATTGGTTATAAGGTTTCACGCCAGAGACAAACGTGCGTGCATATTGATATTCACATATTTTACGTTAGATATCACTTTCTGCTTATTAATGGAACGATTGTGAATTGTCAATGGATTAAAACTATATTTAAGCTACTTTGGCTGTTCTTGTGGGAATAAACCGAACTAAATTTTGGAGCTTTTAGATGGTACACAATCCTCGCACTCTTTTGCTTGAAGGTACCTAACTTATTGGGTAATCTTAATTTGAAAAATTGACTAACCATCCAAATTAACGATGATGGAGGTAGGTTGCGTGACTGAGTGTTCGGAGGTTTTCCTAATATTTATGAGGTCAAAATTGAAAGCACAGACACGAAAAATATCCTAGTCCAGTAAGACTTTTTGCATATCTTTACATGGTTGGGTCAACATTTTCTTTGGAAAAAGCTTTTAGGTGCTTCGACAACACACTAACATTTTCATCATCATCAACAACGAATCAAAATTTGGCAAGCCTCTAATCAAAATTGTTCGGTTTCCAAAAGCTAATGTGGGAAGTTCGTGGCACTTGCCACTTGGCCATTTGATTTAAGTAAAATGGGCACATCTCGCTTTAGAAGGGCCTGAAGATCTCTCTCGTGCGCGGCCCTAGAGGGAAAGGGGTGGGGGGAGGGAGGCAAGACAGGAACAATTGCGAATCTTTTGAGTCAGCCACCATAGGAACGTTGTCAATTCTCCAAAATTATTTAATGATTTGACAGAGAGAGAGAGAGAGAGGTACTAAGTGGGAATAGCTGGTTTCATGTGGACAACAAGTTGGTGGTTGTGTAGTTCAGAAATATGGGAACAAGAACACTGGGAACCAACTTCTTTTTGTTCTTCGCAAACCAGCCACCATTTCGGCCATGGGCAACCCTTCTTGCCATATTTCATTCACAACTTCATTTATCTCTACATGGGAGTAACAGGGTTTTACAGATAACTGCAGATGTATATATGATTGGAGTTGTATAAGTAGAGTATAAACATCGACTCTTTGTGCAGCAGTGTGCAGAGTGCTATGTCAATCTCATTAAATCGGTTTTCGTATACGCGACATTACTCGCCTTGAGAACTACCCTTATGAAAAGGGGGGGTATTATTTTTTCTTTTTTATCATCAATATTAGTGGATATCAGGCTGGTCCAATTGGAGTTGACATTGGTGTTTTCATTAGCTAAGCCAATGATCGTTCTCTTCTGCAATTTTTTGCAATCTCCAGGTACTATCACTAATGCTTCAGCTACAAAAAAAATCACCTAAATTTTTGCAGACTCCTGATGAAACAGAAAGACTTGTTTTTCATGTCTTCACACAAAGTGACAAGCTAATCAACATCCAAAGGGCACTTTATATTTTCCCGAATACACATATTATTCTCTGCATGCTTCTTGGCCCGAGTCATTCCAAATGAAACTTTAAATCCCCACCATTTCATAACAAACGTGAGCTTCTGTTGGCTTGGCCTAGAGAGAGAGAGAGAGAGAGCAATGGAGGGGATAGAGAGAGGCGCCACCGCCACATGAGGCGGTGATAGGGTCATTTTCCAGCAAACCTTGACCACTAACACTGTGTGTGTGTGTGTGTGTGTGTGTGTTCAAGTGGAGGAAGCATAGGGATCGAATACTGCGTGCAAAAAAGGAGGATATTATACGAATGGTGCTTGGGGTTGGAGCATCTCTCTGTACCACCGTATCAATCAGTCCCTCTTTTTGGAGGCCATAAATAGCACGATCATGGCCTTTCACTGATGCACTCATCACAGGCTATAACCAGCCACCAAGTCCTTCACATATCATCATCATCATCATCATCATCGCTATTACTATCTCAAATTTTTCAAATTGTTGAAAGAAACAAGATGGTGAAGTTTTCTAAGCAGTATGAAGGTCAGCTTGTGCCTGAGTGGAAAGCGGCCTTTGTTGATTACTGGCAACTCAAGAAGGACCTGAAAAGAATCCATCTCCTTATAAACATTCAACCGACCTCATTGCCCAACAGAGAACACGAACATCATCCTAGTACTCCTGTCACTGAGGCTGACACTTTCCTCTCATCTCTAAAGAAGTTCAGTCCTTTTGGGCATCATCAACCTAGGACTGATGGTGCCATTCAAGTATTTTCCTCACTTCCTCAAGAACCCAAAAGAAAAAAAACAAGAAAGCTTTTTTCATTTTGATGATTATTTCAGTAAAGAGAATGTAATGGCTTGTTGGTGCTTGTCTTTCTTAATTTCACACCAGGTGCACAAGAAACTTGCATCTTCAGACAGACAGGGTGATTTGTATGAGACTGAGTTGGTGGAGCAATTCTCAGACCTTGAAGCAGCCAAGGAGTTCTTTGCATGCTTGGACCACCAGCTCAACAAAGTGAACAAGTTCTTCAGGACCAAGGAGAGAGAGTTCTTGGAAAGAGGAGAGTCCCTGAAGAGGCAAATAGAGATCCTAGCCGAACTCAAAGCATTTGTCAGTGAACAAAGTGGAAAAGATCCGTCGTTGGCCCATGATGTCGGGGAGGAGGATGCTTCCATTTCCTGTGCCATATCTTGCGGTAAATGAGGATAAAAATAGTTTCTGTGCTGCATTGCCAATACCAAATTTTATGATCACATTATTAACCACATAAAACTTAGAATTTTCATTAAGCTCACGTTGAATCACAACTTGCTGAATATTTTCCATTCCTCGGGTGGCAGAGGAGGAGTCCATAGTAAAAGGACAAGATCAAGAACAAATGCAAGAGAAAAAAGTCTTGGAATTGGATGAACTTGGGACAAGTGACGAGCTGCCGTTGACCGAGTCTGCAAAATGGGACGAGGCGGGGAAGTCGGGAACAATAAAGAGAGAGTACAGTAATAAATTGAGGTCGCTCTCGAGTCGGTCTTTCAGCTGCCAGGGGAAGAACTTGAAGGTGAACATTCCTCTGACAACGCCATCTCGGGCCTTCTTGGCAATCAGTGACCTGGTTCGGGAGGATCTGATCAGCCCAGCCTCCAAGAAGTGCAACTCTGAAGGCAATAATAAGATGCAAATTAATAGGACAAAGCTGCAGCATGCAGAGAAGATGATCAAAAAAGCTCTCATTGAACTCTACAAAGGGTTGGGTTATCTGAATACTTACAGGTACCTTGGCATATATGTTTGCTTACTTTTTTATGCATGAATCTACTTGTGTGAGCCTTGTGCTTAATAAAGTCGTTCTATTTTTCTTCAGGAATTTGAACATGCTTGCATTTGTAAAAATTTTGAAGAAGTTTGACAAAGTAAGTGAAATGGTTGTTCGTTTCTTTCTCTTTTATCTTTGTTTCCATAGGCATATGTACCATGATTATTACACATATAACAGAGAAATTGGGTTTCGTAACTTCGGTTAATGAATGTTTCAGGTCACAGGAAAGCAAGTTCTTCCGATTTATCTGAGAGTGGTAGAGAGCTCCTATTTCAATAGCTCTGACAAGGTAAAAGAACATTACTAATTTACTTCTTTCTGCAACAGAATGCCGTGAAATCATGTGCACCATGATCCATAAGATGATTTGTACCCACTTATCCATTCGTCCTAAAATTAACCTGACCAAACCTAGTGGTCGTTATACTAAATTTCCTGTCTGCTCAAAGAATGACCATTGAATCATATGTTCTTTCCCCGTTTCTCATATAGATGTGCATTTGCAACTTTGTAAGGAGGAGGAATTTTCTTATCGGGTGTCAGAAATGACAGGTGATGCATTTGGGAGATGAAGTCGAAGAGCTATTTGTCAAGCAGTTTGCTGCAGCTGATCAAAGAAAAGCCCTGAAGTACCTGAAGCCACTCCAGCGTACAGAGTCGCACGGCACTACCTTTTTAGTAGGTCAGTTTTATGGCTCAGATACAAAAAACTTAAATCTTCATGATAATATCTTCAAACGACATATTTTCGACATCCACCTCGTGTGTTGTCTTAACTTGGGACAATATTTTAGAGCAAGAGACTGAAAGAGAGAGTGACTCGACCCATCAGGCCATTAGTGCTCACAGAATGACTGCTGGTGCACACTGCACTTATTGTTTTTGGTTGAACTATAGATCTTGGTCCCATGGTACGACACATAACTATCTTTGCACTGGATATTGCCGTAGAAGATTGAAGAGTGGAAAGGCTTAACAATATAGACTCATATTTTAATGTCATGACAAAATAAGCTAGTCCCGATCTAGAAAACAAGTAAAGGTTGTCTTAGATAACGAGTTTTAGGCCTAACTTCTGTAGCAAAGGAGTTATGATAAAGTCTACTCAGTGAGGACGGTTTTCCAGTTATCAACTAACTGCAACTGAAGAAAAAAAGAAATGAATATTAAAATTAAGCAAAGTTTCCTTTGCAGCTCTGCCATAAGAAAATAATGACGGTGAAAAAAGTTAGCATTCTGTCTTGCGATTGTATCGTATAGAGAGGAGAGAAGAGTGGCAGACTGCAAAATTATCTAATGAAAAATCTACGGAAATATAGCATACTGTGACTTAAAGTAATCAAGAAACAGAAAAGATGGAACAGCGAAACTAAATGATTCCGTAATGCATTTTCCCTCACTGTTGTGCATCAGGGTTATTCACCGGTTGCTTGATTGCGCTCTTCACCGGATATGTCATCATGGCTCATGTCACCGGCATATACAGAAGAAAGGGAGACAGAGTTTACATGGAAACTGTGTACCCCATTCTTAGGCAAGTACCGTTAAGTTTTAGCGTCCTTCTTCATAATAATGGGCAAAAAGCAGCTAAAAGAAGTGATCCCTATATGTGCAGCATGTTCAGCCTGTTCTTTCTGCACTTCTTTCTCTACGGATGCAACATTTTCGCATGGCGAAAGGCACGTATAAATTATAGCTTCATCTTTGAACTGACCACTCCCAAGGAGCTCAAGTACAGAGATGTGTTCCTAATTTGTGCCGCATCAATGGCTGTTGTGGTAGGTGTCATGTTTGTCCATCTGTCTGTTCTCACAAAAGGGTCTTCGGACAAACAAGTCCAGTCAATTCCCGGGCTTCTGCTACTGGTACTTTTCTCTTCTCTCTTAGCAAAATAAGACGACAAATTCCTCCAATAGGATGGAAAAGCACGTATACGCATGCACATAATTGTAAAAGAATCTACTTATTACATACATAATCTCTTGTGCTAATCTGATGAAAGTAGGGTTTCTGAACATGCAGAGTTTCGTTCTATTACTTGTATGTCCATGCAATATCTTCTACCAATCTAGTCGGTACCGTCTCCTTCGAGTGATAAGGAATATCATTTTCTCACCCCTCTACAAGGTACAATTTCTTGTATCCCTATTTGGTGAAATAATATGCGTCCTGCAAGAAAGTGGGTTTATAGGCTCTGACTTCAGAAGATGAGCATAATTCCCAGTTTAACATGACTGCTCAGCGATGCCCAGTAATTCTGACTGAACAGAGACTATCCACTGCAAAAACAATCCGACTGTCTAATTCAATTCTGAATTTTCTGCAGGTGGTTATGCTGGACTTCTTCATGGCTGATCAACTCTGCAGTCAGGTAGAGCCTTGTTCAATAGAAATTTTGCAGAAGGATAGTCGCATAGAGAAATCAAATCGTTGACTTCACCGGTTCATGATTGATACTTTTGGCAGATTCCGATGCTCAGAAACTTAGAGTACTTAACCTGTTATTACATAACCGGAAGCTATAAGACTCAAGACTACAAGTATTGCATGCAGACCAAGCACTACCGAGACCTCGCCTATGCAGTGTCCTTTCTTCCCTACTACTGGAGGGCAATGCAGGTTGATTTAAAAAACCCACCACTTTTTCTTAGGCAATTGTTAACTACTTTAGGAAATCGGCAGACGTGTATAATAGAATAGCCCGATTGAGCATTACTCTATGAAATATGCAGTGCGCGAGGCGATGGTTTGACGAAGGACACACAAGCCATCTCGTGAATCTAGGGAAGTACGTGTCGGCGATGTTAGCAGCCGGAGCCAAAGTAGCCTATGAGAAAGAACAGAGCTTCGGGTGGCTCTTCCTAGTTGTGGTCATCTCGAGTGGTGCCACGATTTACCAATTGTACTGGGACTTTGTAAAAGATTGGGGCTTGCTCCAGATGAACTCGAAGAACCAATGGCTGAGGAACGAATTGATGCTTCGCCGAAAGTTCGTTTACTACTTGTCCATGGTAGATACTATGCCCTCTCTCTTTCTTGCTTTTCGAACACAAAACAAAAGACTGAGGAAAGAAAAAGATGGGAAGAAAAATCTAATGCAGGACATTAGGATAATATCGATTCTCACTGCTCAGAAGATGAATATGAATATATTCTTCTAAGACATAGTATGATAACGGTTCCGAGGATTTAAGGATGAAAAAGATAAGAGAACCCAACTTGATGATAAACAGAACGAGATGGCTAGTGTGCTTCGCATCGCAGGAGACAGGATAGAGAACTAGATGATCAGTGAGAACAAGCATTTCGCAAATGATTCTGACTAACTATATGCAGTTTTAAGAAGTCTGAATAATCGTGCAGGGTTTGAACCTCGTTCTCAGGCTCGCTTGGTTACAAACGGTCCTCCATTATAGTTTTGAAAATGTCGATTATAGAGTGACGGGGCTATTTTTAGCAGCCCTGGAAGTACTCAGAAGAGGCCTGTGGAATTTCTTCAGGTAATAAAATTTCAGCTTTTCAAGTTTTGTGTGGATGTTGGAGATATTCGTGCATTCAAGTCTTTTGAATTATGATCTGTATCCACTATGTCAATTGATTAGGACTACTTTTGATTGGCTCAGGTTGGAGAATGAGCATCTAAATAATGCAGGAAAGTTCAGAGCAGTTAAGACAGTACCCCTTCCCTTTCACGAAGTGGATGAAGAAGGGTGATCGACCAATTGGCCTAAGTTGCAAGCAGAATACAATTCAGGGATTCGAAATTTCAACTTCTTTCTGGAAAAGGGTATCGGGTTTTCTCTACTTAGCATCAGTTGATGGAACAACTTGGCTAAATCAATTTTTGTTCATTCAGTGTGCTCTAGGAACATGCGTCAAACTTGTAACATTTTTTTTTGTTCCTTTTTTCCAAGGATGAAGTGGATGAGATAGAAAGCTGTCAATGCATGAATACCTAGTTAATGCATTCTCCTCGTTGCCTCTTTCTGTCTATTTGTTTGACACCATGTCGACTGCGGAAAATTGCTACGTACTTTGGTCGCTCTCAACTGTTTCCATCCACATTTCTGATATTTCAATTAGAATCAAGGGGAAACAATTGACACAAGCACAGAGCTCATTTGGAAAATGTGGTCAAATGATCAAGAGAAAAGGGAAAAGAACAGAACTTATTGACATAAATTAATCGTTCAGTGAAACCGCTCGTAACAGCGGCACCATATATCGAAAAGAAGTTTATCCCAATCCTGTAGTGAGACCACCTTCGGTTAGGATGGATCAGCCATCGCCAGGTTCGACAATACCGATGACAACCCCGATGACGATGCCCAAAATGAGCACCAGAGCAGCTCCCATCACAATCACGTTCCCGATAACCTCGACCTGTTCATTCTCATTGATCTCCATCAGGAAGGGACCAGGGAAAAAAAGCTGAGAATTGATCGTTTCCCTTCCCACACTTCCCGTCTTCCCAAACTGAGAAGAAATGAACTTTTTCCTGTTTTTCTTCTTTCATTTGGGTGATTAAACCATTTACATGATCCATGATCATTGCCTGCAGACTACCTACAGGTCCACGCCAGCGCAGGATCTGTTTCACACCCAACCGAAGGGAAAAATTTCTAGACGTGTTAACTAAGAGCAGGTACAAGTTTCCAGTTTTGATGGAGGGTCTAACGCCAGATGACAGCAAAACTTATGCGGGACGGCTCCGAAAGAGAAGCCCTGCCACAGGCCAAGCTATACAGGCCAGCTTTGACAAGTTCATATGTGGAGGAAGTTGTTCAGCTGAATCACTTGCTCAAATGGTCGTGAAAGATGGCTAATTAGGCTTTGCCTCAGCACTCCCTGTTGCTCCATATCCTCTAACATCATCTCATGTTTCGCACTTGCATATGTAAATAACTCCATTGGCCCAAGAATCATGCCTGAGAAATGGGTGGCCATGGTCTATTCAAATCTATAATGAAATCAAGTGCCCAAAAACAGGATAAAAGATTGTCCTTTTAAGTGAATCTACCTATCTAACTCGAAAAATAGCCAGACAATTATGGCGGATGAAATTGGATGATGGAATTCCATCAATTGCTCGCGGGGTAATTCTATAGTCCTAGGGACAGGTCTCAATAGTAACTTGCCGTAACTATTTGTATCTTATCGAATTTCCTTACAAAGTATTTTAATGCACCAAAGATTTGACCAATCAACGAGGAAGATTTAATCTTTTTAAATCCTATGGTTGAGAGGTTAGGGATTCATTTCCCAAAAATCTATAGAAACAACTTTAGACACGTCGAGAACGATGAGTAAGTTAAATGAAAAATGCCTTCTATATAAACATATATATAATATTTTTTGTTAATTCATGTGCTTAATAGTTTCTCATGGGGCGACACTAATAGGCTTGCAAAAAAAAAATTTAGTGATTATGGCTCAAACGGAACACTCTCTTACCAATATAAAACTCATAATAACACCGAGAGGGATCGCCGACGATGGTCATCTCTCCCTACCCTTTTCTGCATACACGTGCCGCAACTCTAGTACATAAAATTGAAATGCCGGACATTTTTCGAGTTATGATAAATCGAATAAAATGATGATGCCAATGTAAAATCATTCCTAGTAAGTTAAAATCCGCAGCCGCAATCAAATTAAAAGGCCAGGATTCAATTTTTGTCTTCTTTTTTTTTGCCTTATTACAAAAAAAAAATTAGAAAAATAAAAAAAAAATTCACTGGCGGAGAAAGAAGTAGGCCGCCATCAAAAGAGCGTTTGTTCCCCTTTCCGCCGGCGGCGCAAAGAGCAGCAGGAGCACACTTTGCAAGCGCAACGCCGCCAGAAAAAGAGCTCGCGCAAATCCCTCCAATGGCGGCAACGGTCACTAACGGTCACCCGCCGACCGTTAACTCTCTCCCCTCTTCCCGACAAGGCCTCCATCGACCCTCTTCCTCCTCCTCGTACCGTCCTCTTTGGCCTCCGAGGGACAAGCCTACCCTCGCCTCCTCCAGGTCGCCGCCCGCCGCCGACCATGGCTGAACCCACTTCGATCTCTCTCTCGCTCTCTCTTTTCTCGTCTTTGCTTCGCCGTTGTCCGAAGTTCCTGCGCTTTTCAGTGGCCCCTGAAGTTTCGATTTTGCGCTTGTTGCCGCAGGTTGCGCTTCTCGCTCCCGGCGGTTGGACCGAGAAAGCGAGGATCGAGCTTGCCTTTGGTGTTCTGCTCGTCTGAGGGTGAATCCGAGACGGACCCGGAATCGCCCCCGAGTGATTCGACCGTGGTAGGTGATGATTCCGGGTTCGTGATTGCGTTTTCTTTGACTGTGCTGATGCCGATCCAATGCCTTGTCCCAAATCCCATTGTAGGAGGATATCTGTGTGTTCTTTGTTAATTGTTTGATTGAATTGGAACGGTTGTTCCATCAAGTTGCTGAATTGATAGGAGGGAAATGTGCTATGTCGGGTTGTGATGAAATCCCAAATTTTGGGCATCGGAGGGCGATGATACTTGTGATGAATTGTTATGTTAATTGATGTTCATTGGAAGGGCCTGAATCTTTTAGAGAAGTCACTTTACAAACCTAATCCATTCGGACTAGAGATATAGTATATATTTCTGATCAGCGTGTCCATGCGACGGCATTACTTTTGGCATTTGCTTTTGAAGAAGAATAAATGGTCCAAAACTAAAGATCCGTATTCAATCCCTTGGATCACTTTCATTTGGTACCTTGTTTATCGTTTCTCTATTGTAGTTGAGCAACTGCTTAGGTATTATCTTCTGGAAGCGTAAGTTGGGGTTTATAGCTGGCAAAGCACAAGATGAAGCAAGAACATGATGCTGTCAGGAGAGAGAGAAAGTCTACATCACATTTCATGTTGTTATCGAACATGCTTGTGAAAGCAGTAACCTTGCTATGTTGTCACTTCCCTGCAGAATGTGTAGGCTTCGAGCTTCTGTTTCAACTTGTGTCATCTACCTTTGCCACATCATAACCTTCTAGCAGTCTGAATAGCCTTTACCTTGATCCCTCGAATTTCATATGAGTGAAACACATAACCATGAGATTCATATGTGAATTTCTTGCAAGATCGGATTGTAGGATCTCCCTTAGGCATCTGTGTGAATGAGGGGGCAAAGTACCATTGAATCAACTCCAAAAGATCTTTAAGAAGAAAAACTCTGATTTGCTGACCACTTATTGTCCTCTTCTTCAATGAGTTCGAAATTTTTTATCTCTTTTCATATAGAATTGCCATTTTTCTTTTTCCTGCAAGAGAAGAGGCATGGATGTAAATTGTTCTTTTGCTTTTTGTCATTTTTCCAATGATAATTGAAGATAGATCTACCCTTGAGCATTTATGCTATGAATAAAGGGCTTATGCCCTTTGCATGCTTGATCTTAGATGGAGAACAATTGATGCATGCTTCTTTGCTATTTCATGCCTGGAGTATTTCTCACTATTGGCCTCTTTTAATTAATTAATGTCCTCTTGGCAGCGTCTACAGCTTAATTTGGAACACCCGAGGAGAAGATTGGTTGTACAATTCACTTGTAATGAATGTGGTGAAAGAACACAAAGGCTCGTTAATAAGTTAGCCTATGAACGAGGTCTTATATTTGTACAGGTAACTCCTATGTACACTATTTCATTGTATCTGTGATCCATCTTGTTGTTTTGTGATGATTAGAATAAAAGTTGTGACATTTCACAAGGAATTGAATGCTCTGAGGTTAAGCTAATCGTGGTAGTAAATTCTTCTTTGAGCAATTTGCTCGTTAGTTTTCTCTTGGCATTGGCAAAATCTATCTTGTAAGTTGTGAATCTAGAAAGATTTCTTGGGTACTGAAAAGAACATATGCAATTTCTGGGAGACTACTTTGGTTCAAATAACCTCATTCTGCTCACTGTTTTCTTTTTTTTCTTTTTTTGTGCCTGACCTGCATTTGTAGAAAAGATAATTAGAAATAGATTATGAGTCTTTTCCCAAAAAAAAATAATAATAATAATAATTCTATTGATTGTCGGATTGTATTTTAGGCACACTTGTCAAGAGGCTATAAACTCCGAAGAGTGACATTTCGTAGTTAATCTACTTTTGGCATTCCATTACATCTTTGCTTGTCATTTTCAATCATGAAGTGTCCTCAGGCGCTTGAATAAGAAATAAGACAACTAGAAAGGGAATTTCGCTTATCCGTCTTATATTGCTTTGCATGAATATGAAGGTGAGCTGTGAAATTTGATGTCATGGCTGTCCCTTTTAACTGCAGTCCTACTGTTTCTTTCATTTATAAGTTATGATCATAACATTAAGAAGCCAGCAGCAACTCATGTTTTTACTTCTTACTGGTGTTTCTTTGGCTTAACTTTGCATCTTTTTAAAATCCTCTTTTCTATTTTGTTGATGTTTTGTTTATGCTTCTCATCAGTGTGCTGGTTGTCTTCGGCATCACAAGTTAGTAGACAATCTTGGCCTCGTAGTGGACTATGACTTGCGAGAAGAAATTGAGATGGAGCAATAAAGATCAAGCCTGTTGAAGTTCAAAATGGCGAGGACCTCTCCATGCTGTACTTACTTTTGTTGAATCGACTGACTTTGTGAAGGTCTTGTTTTGAATGAAAAAAGAATTGTCCAATAGTATGTCATTGTGTAGAAAGAATACAAAAATGCCTTACAATTCTTGATCATATTTTCTTTTATTTGTTCTACTGGCTCCATTTTTTTCTTGTAACGCCAACTTTTTTAAATGCAAACATGTCCTGTGGCAGCAAATTTCTCTAGAAGCCACAACCTCTGACTGCCAGCAGAATGGCCATGGAAAATCCAATCCTTGCCCACATCCCCAGCTTTCCTTGTCGATGGAAGGAAAATCCTCCATTCTATAAACAAGCAGGAAATAATTTGTCATAATATGCTGCTGATGGGTATCATGATTGAAACTTGATCATGCATCAATAGTTTGCTACATTACCAAGTTTGGTGAAGGTGCTGGGGATGCATCCTCATTGTCTGAAACAGTAGGTGGAGCTGGAGGGCTTCGTACAGTGGGTGCTGGTGCAGGGGCATGATGCCTTTTGTGCTTGTGCTTGTGCCTCCTCTTGTGTTTGGTGTGTGCTGGTGCGGGAGATGGCACTAAAACTGGTGCAGGTGCTGGTGCCTTGTTGACAGGTGGAGGGGCAGGGGCTGGTGGTGGTGTTGATGGGGACGGTACAGGAGCTTCCTTTATTGGTGCTGGTGCTGGTGCCGGTGGTGCTTTAACAGGAGCTGGAGCTGGTGGCGCTTGGGCTGGTGACGGGGATACTTGTGGTGGTGAAACAGGCGGTGGCAGCAGGGGTGGTGAAGCAACGGGCGGTGGAGGCAACGCCGGTGGTTGTGCAGGAGTAGAGGTGGGAGGGCTCTGTGGCGGTTGAGGTGGTGGAACCTGAGGGGCCGAAACTGGTGGGTTGGACACTGGTGCAACTTTCGGGGTTGGGGTTGCCGTTGGACTGGAAGTCGGCGGAGTCGTCGTCGCAGGGGTAGACGGTGCTGAACTTGCTGGGGGCGGTGTTGTGGAAGCCGGTGGTGTTAGCGGAAGAATAGAAGGTGAGGCAGCTGGTGCTTGCGCATATGTGAATACCAGTTGACAAGCGAGGATAGCCGAAATTCGGTACCAGTTCGCGAAGGCCATTTTATGGTAGATGGGAGGTCCGAAGGAGGGACTTGGTGGTTCTATATAAGCAAACCCCGAAAGAAGGGGACCTGAGAAGATCCGAAGTGTTCGGTGGAGGGAGAGATGTTGCCCTCATGTGATAGGTACATAGTTTCTAAGGTTCTGGTAATGCGATGAAGGAAGTTTAAAATGAGGTTGTTTAGGAGAACAGTTGCGCCATCTTGTCAGCCAACCTATTTGGCTGGCTCTTGGAGAAGGGGCCTCCGATGAACTCCTGCCTTTAAGATCGGAGAAACAGGAAAATGAGGCTTAGGTCTATAGTTCTTATGAGAATAGGACTCCTCTTATTTATTTTGCTTGTCACGGCGAGAATAGTTACACATCGCTAGAGCTTTATGGTCGGGTACAGGTGGGGATAATTACCAAATCAATCATAAATCTTTATTGTACGAATGTTATTTCAATTTTAAACCTTTTAATTTTTTCAATGTAGTCCTGAACCTATTATGTGAAATTTCAATATAATCCTCCCCGTCAATTGCTGCCAGAAATTGCTAATGTGGCGTCCAGTTTCGTCGGCCGTTTTGCGTGGCACGCAGACATGGATGGCTTTACTCGAGACATCCTATATGGATAACCACATCGGCGATTTTCAACAACAATTGGTTAAAATGACTACATTAGAGTTTCGCGCAAAAGTTTAGGACTACATTGGCAACATTAGAAAATTTAAGACAGAATTGATATAGGTAGACTAAATTGGTAATTTTCCCTCCATAAGTGGGATAACGTGAAATCTTTTCCAATTTTCTGCTTCACAATTCGTTTGTTCAAGGGGCTTGGTTGGTACTAGTAGTCTCTTCGTAACAAAGGCATCGTATTCAAATTTAGCTCCAACTTAAACTTAATATTGTTCTCTTGATTAAGCCTTTCGCGTCTCTTGGTGCATTGAGATCTCTCTCTCTCTCACTCTATCTTTCTGTGATGACAAGAATATGGGGGTCGGTTCATGAATTCTAAATTGGCAGTTTACTGAGCACAGAAATGTCCACCTAAAAGGTCAATATCTTCTGAATTGAAATAATAGTAATAATACTTTTTGCCCCCTCAAAAAAATTCGATTTCCAATGGTGTGTTTTGAGCTTTCATGAAGCTGCCAAGCAAGAGAATCGCCAACTTCTCATCTTCTCTTGCAATTTGAAAGTGAAGAATTCCAAATTAGAAGGCTGAATTGCCTCCTGACCAAACAGGCGAGTCCCTCTTTTTTTCTCTTGCTGTTTCTCAAATCTCACTCAAGTGATTTTCTTGAATCTGCCAGTGTGTGGCAAAAGAAAATCAGCAACCTTAAAGGGCAATTGGAGTAAGCAAGCAATGGGCTGAGAATAGATTAGTAATATTTACCAAATTCGACCACCAACCTATTCTAACCACCATTTGGTTCCATCCTCGAATCTAATCATTGGTATGCAGTCTTCATCATATCCAGCGAGAAAATGAAATACCAATTACTTCTTTGCGTTTCATTGGCTTCCCTTTGTGATTTCCATGCTTTTTCTCTTGACAGTCTCAACACAAAGTGTACAAGCTCATTCCTGTGCTAAATGCTAGGCCACTCGTATGGTTGGTTGTCGCAACGAATGAGACAGCTTCCAAAGAGTCGACAATCAAGGTGAATGACGCATGATCTTGCATGATAGCTACAAAAATGTTTGTACAAGAACAATAAAGAATTCCTCGCATTTTATCCCTCTTGGTTACAAGAACCTTGGCCGAATTAAAGGACCATACAAAAACCTCAAAACTTACATATGAGACGGGTAATTTCACAAGGACAATGACGGGTTTTCACCATGGTTTATGTGCTCATCCCCCTACAGTATGATTCAGGGTTTTCTCACGTGCTTCTGGATTGGTGAGTATTTTTGCAATCAACATCGTTCTTTCACAAACAAAACATAAGGTGGAACATGTCATGCATCTTGTTGAGCAGCTTTGATGGGTGGGGCGAGATGGGAAGACATGAAGGCGGGGTTGCTGGCTCTGAATTCTTCTCTTTCTTCTTCCTTCTCAGCTGGAAGAACTGCTGCATTGCATCTGCACACTCTGATTCTAACACGCCTCGCCTGATGGTCATTTTCGGGTGAAACGGGTGTACAGGAGGAGCCGGCTTGCCTGTGCCTTCAGAAGCAGTCGCCCCTTCACCAATCGGGAAAAGCCTGAAACAAAAACAAAGGGAGATGAATTCTTTGGACTCGGTTCTAAATAGAGGTCAAGTAACAAAGTCCGCATGCAAATCATAAATGTATTGTTTGAGAAATTATTGATTGGGGGAGGAAATTTCCCCCCTCTATCTCACGAAAATTTCAAACTTTTTCCTATTTTCGACCCTAATTTAAATCACCTCCCCTTTCTCTCTTTTCTGCATGGAGCATAAAAGAAATACTCACAAAGAAAAACTTAGAGAAGAAGTTGCCTCATTAAGATGGATCTTCAGCATATTCTGGGATAAACTGCCTCAGTAAAGTTTTCTTCAGATATCTCGGGAAAGCAGTAGGTAGCATCATGTGTTGGTGATGCTCATACCAGCCAATAAGATACTTTTAAAGTATGGATGCTAGACAGCTACTACTTAACAATTTTTGCAACAACCCAAATAGCAATAGAAGCCAAATTGTTATCTGGCTTTATCAAGCCAATATAGCAATCTAAGTGGAGCCCTGAAAAGTATCTTGCAACCGCCATACAAGCAAAAAAACCAATTGGGAACCAGAAAATATTCCGGAAACAAAGATAGCTGATAATCTCTGTTGGGGTGTGGAAAACTTCAAAAAGTAGCAGATGAATTCAACATACCTAACCCAGCTGCCATCAGCTCCAAGAAGTTTGTTGGGAGCTCCCCAAACAAGAGTGTCGACTCGAGCTTGAAGAATTGCTCCAGCACACATGGGACATGGTTCCAGTGTCACATATAATGTTGTCTCCTGGGGGAATTATAGAAATTAGGTTCACAAATACATAGTTCTGCCAACACAGCAAAAACTTAGTTTGATAAGGTCCTGCCAGCACTCAGTTATTTCACAACAAAAGAGGCTCAAAATACGCAAATTCGGAAGAATATCAGTAGGGAACACATCATATGATGGTGAGAAAAATATATTTGCAAAGCGACTATACCAAACATGGCATAAACACCAGTGCCATGATTCCTATATGAGTGCGATTCATCTGGTTTTGTCCTCAGATGGCCATTTTTGATAATGTCCAGAGGTCTCGCTTGGCATATAAAGACAATCTAAACCCATACAACAGTCAACACTTGGAAGGTGCAATGCTGCCATTGTGCTCCTCAGGCATTGATATAGACATAACTTTGCCTATAGAGAAAAAGTCTCTTCAGATTTTTATCTTATGCTTAGGCATCATTTTCCCTGCCTTCATGCTATCAACAGAAATTGAACCAGAAAATTCCAGGTTTTGGCTTCTAAAAATTATCACGAAAAGTGCCAGCCCTGAGGTTTGAATCAAATATGTTTTATGCTAGAAACAGCTAGTAAGTAACAACATCTAACACTTAGACACCAATAAAGAATGAGCTTTGGAGCAGAGTTCTACCGCAAGTCTCCATGACCGAAGAACGTTCGATGCCTCCTTTATACATATCATTTCAGCATGGGCCGTAGAGTCCCTCAACTCCTCCACCCTACATATTATATTTCCTTGTCAAGTGATTCTGAAGTAACATCAATCGTAACAGAAAGGATAAGCCAATGAAATTCTAAGACTCACAGGTTGAATCCACGAGCAATAATCTTCCCATGTTGCACCAGTACTGCTCCAACTGGCACTTCCCACTTTTCAGCAGCTTTATTTGCTTCCACAAGTGCTTCCCTCATGAACATTTCATCAATCTTCCGCTGCTCACTTTCAAATCTGTATGCCTCTTCCCATTCATCAAATCTATCTCTTGTTACTTGCTTGGCCCGTTGGAACTTCCTCTGTTTCAGCGGTGAACTCGTAACCTCCACTCCTCCAACTTCAATTAACTTTTCGGCATTTTGGTCCAACCCTTCACGAAGGCCAGTACCAGCTAAAAGGGTCTTACCAGTATCTGAAGATGCTTCTCCTCTTGGAGGAGTTGTTTCTCTCGGAGGCTGAGGTAATGATGATTCCACCAATTCCAGAGCAAGAGGAGGGCTATTGGTGTCCTGTACTTTTTCATGCCAACCAATTTCTTCTTCCTGTTGTGCTGAACCAGAGGAGATCGTCTTTGCCAAACTGCTTCCTGATTTAACAGGAGATAGAATCTCAGCTTCAGATGGTGTTCTTTTTTCACCTTTTGGTGAATGTGTACGGTTTCGAGTTAAAGGATGCAATGGCTGCAGCTGGTCAGAAGAGGTTACTTTCTGTGGCGTACTTCTTTCGCGCTTGATGTTCCCATCATTGTTTTCGTCATGCTCATGGCCAGAGAACCACGTGTCAATGCTAACAGACTCATTCATTGTGCTCTTTCCACCTGAAAGTGCAGCTGAAGTGGATGATTCAGCTCGTGAACCCCAGCGCAGGCGAACAATATCCGCCATGATATTCCACAAGGACCTGCCAGATCTCCTGACAGCAACAGGACCACTTGTTGTACTGCTGTCAGGTTCTTCCGACTTCAAAACTTCGTGAATAGATGGATCAATTTCATGCCATATTTCATCAGTAGGGCCTTTTGATCCAGAACTCCCAGAAGGGTGCCTTGAGTCACGATTCCTTAACGGAACGTCTTCTGAACCATATTGAGTGGAACTAGCTTGGATGTTAGCTTCACTACCGTATCCTGACTTAGCATCAGATGTATCTACTTCGGCCTCACTACTTATTTCGTGCCTGGCCTTCTCAATGTACTCCCCAACAAATTTTCTAGATGATTCCTCCAAACGAAGAGCTGACCCAAGAGCATCTTCATGAGTTCTAACATACAACGGTGCCCCATGGTTCCCATCTCTTCTGCCTCCACTATCAAGCTGTGCATGCAAAGCAGAAGTTTGAGTTTCTCCGTGTGTACTTGAGGTATTAGAACCACTTTCCAAGAAATTCTCTTTAGTTGGCATCCCACTTGTCCTATCAGCATAAGAAGAGCCCCTGGCTACCAACTGAGAAGGTGGAGCTATCAATAAAGATTGTGAATTTACTGTGTTGACCTCCTGGTTTATCAATTGCATATTCTGTTGGTAAACCAAATTAATGTTCTGGTTACTAGAAGGCCGTTCTACAACTTTTTGATGAGAAGTAGATTGTTTAGCAAGTCTCGGAGGCGTGCTGCCCAAACCTGACTTAGACTGCATGACTTTTCCTCTGCTTTCTTTTTGTCCGTCCCGGGCATCCCCAGACAGCGTCACAACTGATGTTAAATTCATATCTTGACTAGCCATTCTCTTTTCAGAGGTTTGCTGGGAGCTACGAGCTGTTTCCATATCACTAGCACGAAACTTTGACTTATTCACGTCATCTTGGGATTCACCACTTGAGTGTGCCAGTTTGAGGGCCTGTGAATCTGTATGGTGATATTGTTCCCTCTCACTTGGATATGAATATGAAACCACATTTGTTTTCTGTTGCAAATTTATCCTATTAGACTGTATAATGGACATCCTCTCAGCTGTCTGGTTGCTTTCTGATGGCTCAGTACACTGTTGGGATTTTCCAAATTTACCTTCTATGGTGATCTGATCATCTTGGTGGCTTTGCTCTTCTCTCCTCTGAGCCGAGCTTGAGCCCAAATTCACCTTTACCTCCCAATCATTCCTCCTAGACTTTCTATGCAAACTGGAAGTCTCCTCAGTGTCCATCTCTTGGATTTCCAGCTCTCGAGATAATTCCTGGGTATTTCCAGCAAATTCATCTCTTTCAGCCACATGGCCAGCCGTTTTCCTGCTTTCATTTCTGTTCTTCAAAATAGAACCAGAAGAAGCCATTAGTTTCTCCTCCCTGCTACTGAGTTGCTTTTCAGATTGGGACGACGCTTTCACCTCACTACCACAGGCTCTACAAACTTCTTTATTTCTTTTGCTTTTTCTTTCCAATTTAGAGATGTTAACATCTTCATTTTCATTTTGTCTGTGACTAATAGATGCTCTAGAATCCAAGTTCACAGGAAAAGTCGATTTCTTTACCGCACCAGTGAATTGGGTGCGGGAAATGGAAGATTTTCTATCATCATAATCATGGGTTCTCGACATTGTACTGCATCCTTCCAAGGATTCCTTCTGATATTGCGCTTCTTCAACCGACAGCTCATTGAGTTTCTTTTCTGACTTCTTTCTCCAATCCCACTCTACATTACTCCTCGCCATGGCTTTTTTCTTCTCCAAGGTCTCACTTTCCTCCCTTTCTTCTCTATATATTCTGTCTTCTTCCGACATCTCATTGTCAGTTTTCCTCTCTTCTCTCCTCTTTGAGTCTTTACAGTGGCCACTCGATGTTTCTCCCACAAATCCATCGTCTTTAATCTCTTCTATATCACTCCCAAAACCACCAGAAGATGAAAATGAATGATAAGATGAACAACTAGAGGCCTCTTTCTTTGCCCTGCAATTCTCCTCTCTCCTAAAATCTCCTCTTCCTTCGTCCTGTGTGCGAACATCATCCCTCGACTTGATCTCGATACCCTCGAGTTTGCATTTCGAATTACTCTCCTTAGAAACTGACCCCTTTTTCTTTCTACCCCTTGAATGTTCACTGCCGTGAATCTTTTTCCTCTCCACTTCATATCTCTTGAACGAACTGCTCCCCGGTTTCCCTCTCGAATCAAAACACTCCTCATCGACTTCTTCACTCAACAGACTAAGCACGGCCTCCGCATCCTCAAAACAGCTCAACCGGCGGATCTGATTATTTTCCTCCGAAACCATACACTTGATCCTCCTTCTTCTCCCCCCATTTCTTCTCTCACCACTTCTCTCCCTAAAAGCACAAGAACCTGCCTCATACAAATCCGAGACCTCCCGGTCAATGCCGTGAACTGGGAGCCGACAATGGTACCGGTCTCCCCCGCCAAAGTACAGCCTCCTAGAAGCTGACCACTGAAGCAAAGAGGATTGCCTCCACCCATACAACAACGAAGGGCTTACAGACACCCCATAGTTACTATGTCCACAACAAGCAGGACGCGCACAGCAACAAGAACAACCACAACAACACGACGACGACGACGACGAATGGGCTAATGGGTACTTGTCGAATCGATCAGTCAGCAAGTAGGAATTGTCATTGAAGGAGAAAGAAAGAGGCCCTTTGCTCCTATAGCACAGAAGGGTCGAGCTATACATGAATTCGCGCGGCGTGCGGTGACAAAGGAAGGGAAAGGGCTCACCTTGATAGGCGAATTCCGGAGCTGCTTCTACTGCTTTGGAGCTGAAAACACCAGGAGCGAGTGATCTCTGTGGGTCTGCGTTGTAGATCGGATTGCACAAGGAATCTGTTGAAAAAGATAGGACCAGCTGGAGAAAGAACGGTCACGTGTGGCTGAGTCGGACGAACTCGGTTGAGTTTACATCAGATAGGCTTTGGACTCGCACCAGATCTGGGCTATCTTCTTCATTCTATGAAAATGGTGATATGAATTGGGCTCCATGACAATGTACTGGACAACATTATCACCTCAATGGACTGCTCCAGTGAACCCAATTTGGATTATGATTCGGATCTATCTTTCGTTTCCTGAGATGAAATCGGGTCATCGAACTTTCGGCTCTACTAATCCGCACCGATGCTTGTAAAACTATGCCTGAAGTCCATTTCGTGTTTATAGTGTTATCTACATCCGGATCCTAATCCTCGGATTGAAGTTTGGGGTCGCGATTGTTTAACATCGATTGAAGGACGTCCACACATCACGAGAAAGGATCCGGACTTAGATTCGATGTCGATGACTAAGATCGCGCAAAAAATAAGAAGTCTGGAGGACTAAAAGTAGCAAATTTTGCCAGGAATGTTAGCTAGGTTAGCAAGCTTATTTTGCTGAGGCAACTTTAGACCATCTCGATTGCCGGAACAAAGGGTAAGGAAAATCCTTTTCCCATGCGTTGAAGCATTTTAGTACATGATGCCAGCCGTTATAAATGAGATAACGAGTATTTTTTACGTGTTTTGCAGCACGGTATTTTTGCCCATCCAAATTAATCAACGCATGCTGAGTGTTCTAATTTTTCGTATTCTTGTTCACAACGATAACACTTCTCACACGGCGATTGGTACGGCGAATCACAACATCGTGCATTAAAAGCATGTAAACATCCCTCGATTCTTCGGGCCATGAGACAGATACGAAGTGCTAATCAAATCTTAAAGCACTATTTGGGATATCGTTGCACCGGTTGAAGCAGTGTCCCATCTGGACATGGTTTAGGTAAAACTTGGAGTAGTTGGAAAGGCTATTCGTTCAGGCCCTCCATAGTCCTCATGATGTGCTAGGCCTGGCTGTTTTTTATTTTCTTTAATTTATAAATTTGTTAACAAAATTTATGAATGAGTAAATATTAGAAATTCCTATGACTTTGGATTTTTTATAATATTTTCGCAAGGAGACATGAACAAATCAACACGTACCAATATCTTCCAATATCAAAGACGATACATGAATACATGATGCATAAAATGCATATGGTTGCCAGTAAAATAAAAGAATGAAATTCGATATCCCACGGTTATATGTGGTATGATAGCACAGGTCAACGTGATAACAATGCCATGCGGACCGCAGTGAAAACTCTTTTGACATTATTTGCAAGCTATAGGACGACGTTCTATAATATTGACAAATTTTCGTACATATATTCTTCTTGGTTGGTTACCAAATCTTGGTAGGTTGTCTAAACCACCTTCTGTGCCTTATTTACAGGGGAACGGCAACCTCCCCGTGGGTCAATGTCGACGGATTAGTCATTTATAGCCGGTGGTATTCACCTATTTATTAGGGAAAATATCTTTTTGTAATATATATACAGTGCAAAATACAAATATACTTGGAAGAAATACGACCACATCAGTGAAATACAATTTCATGTAAATTCGAGCGGGTTCACGCCCTCAAAAAAGATAGAAGTACAACCAAATGCCGGTGTGAACAACCCCGTCAACATGACCGCCATGATATAGTGTCATCATTCATTGCCGCTCGTTGTCAAACCTGTTCCCGTGGCATCGTTTCCTCCCGAAGCCACGAGGGGCAGACGACAGACGATCATTCCTAGATTCTTATCGTTCGACCTTTGCCTATTGACCTCCGTGCTCCATCTGCCGGTGCCAAAAGTGGACTTTGACGGTACGGTCGATGACGGTGAGGCAAGCATGTCGCGAGCCACAATGGAAAGAATAAGAAAACGCGAAGTTTTGACCTTCCCCCACCGAGAAAAACAGTGACATTGTCTTCCATGACTTTTTCAATGTACTTAAGGTCATAGTTGCTGAAATATCTATCCACCTTATCGATAACTGACACCGAAATGCTAACAAAACTCGCAAGTGGTGTTTTGCTTAATCAGTGTGAGGTTCCAAGCGCTCATGGTTTGTCCGCTTGATGATTAATGCGTCGTGGGGTTGAATTCCACGGTTCTTATTGAGCACCATACGTGCCATAGAGATTGTCAAAGCCAAAACCTCACCATTGCCGAGATTTGTCGTGCATCAGTCTAATTACCTAGGCCTGAATTTTCACGGTACTGCACAAACAGAGCTTCGAGCACGTTTGGGATGGAAATCCTAGTAATACCTCAACATATTCCACAAACCTATCAACTTAAGCTTTTAGATTGAACTTTCTAACATAATATTGAGCTAAATTATGTTCCTTTCGTATGTGTGCCTATCATGTTACTCCTAATCTGGCTTGCACGGGAAAGAGGGTGTTAAAATATCTCCTCACCTATTGACTTAAATTTTTGAGTTGGACTTCCTAATATGGCAAGTTATCTTTCGTGGTCATAAGAAAATTACCGCCTCTATCGGCTAATTCCATCGCAATCAGGAACATAAACGACAATGCTCAGTTGCTTCGATGGATAATCACTTGTCGGCGGGGTAGAAACTAACGTCAGCATATCCATCTGATTGCGGTACCTTCTTCAACATCACAGAAGTGGAATTCCACCTAGCTTTTCACATCTACCGGTAGCTTTGTCTGTGTTCTCTTTCCATTTTGCATGCAGAGCAACTCCATATCCAGCCCCCTACTGCCACCCTTGTATTTTTTGAATAATGGTTTTGGTTGTTATGTCTCGTCATTGTTGAATTCTTGTGGCTGCTCGAGTGGAGTGGGCAGTGGGCATGTAGGGAGTTTTATGCGTTTGCAGGGCAGTGAAAGAATCGAAGTGCCACTACCAGCCTAGATGTATTGATTCGCAATTTGGAAAGCGAGTTGGATAGCAGCAGTAGGGATCCATTAAAAGATCGAAATAGCGAGGAAACCCTATATAAATAGTGAGAATTTGTTAAAAAGTCGGAATTTTTGAAAATTTTTGAGAGAGTGGGAATTTGTGAGAGAGGGATGAAGATGAAAATGAGACACACCATTGATGGACCGTCCAACGACTACTGAAAGGCCCCATTTTGAATTTTTTGATCGGGTCACATGGGCCCCAATCGGTGGCCAAAAACATTTCGAGCCTGGGTCGAGAGCAAAGAGGCCGTGCTTGCCGTGGAACCAATCCTGCCGAGCGTGACGTTCCATGGCCGGCGCCGTCGTTGGCCATTGCTATGTCCACATACTTGTCTCTACAATTCTATCCAAATCATATCGAGATTAATGCTCTATTCAATTTTCAGTCAAAGATGCATGAACAGAGTTCGTGCATCGACGGATCACGAAAGAGTTCAAGTGAGCTCGGACCTCCTCACAAGACTCGACACATTCTCCTAAAACTACGTGCAAATCAAATTGAATATCCGTGCCACTCGATGATTCACCCGGCATGAAAGCTAAATACACGAGTCAGGATCTATTTCGCACCATCTAGATGCTGAGACACACCACTCACCACGTGAATCCCGCTTTTGCTCAAATCATCGCGAAAATGGACAGCACAAAGAAAAGATTGACAATGAATGTTTGCCACCATGCCATGTTTCTTGGCCTTTGTAAAGCTTTTGGCATTGACATGGTTTGAGACTCTTTTGACGTCGAAGTGACTGGCGATTCGCCAACGGGAAGACTTCTGCTTTATCATCCGAGCACGTCAGAAAGATTCTCGATCTGTCAAGTTCTCAGCCACCCCCCCCACCACCACCGACTCTGCTCCAGAGTCACTTCCGTCGACTCGGCTTTCTCCCCTCGCTAAGTCCAAGGGGCTTTGTACAGAACGAACTGAGATGACTATTGTTAGTCATATTATGAGGTTTTTTTACAGCCAACATATGAGGGAGAGCACGAACAAAAGATGGTGCACATTACACTACAAAAAAACAACGATTTTGCCACGAAATTTCCAACGAAAAATTTGGCAAAATTCGTTGGAAAACGAATTTCCAACGAAATTTGCGACGAACAAAAATTCGTCGGTAATTCGTCGTCGCAAATTTTTGCGACAAAAAATTTCAATTTTCGTTGGTAATTTGCGACGAAAAAAATTTCGTCGCAAAATTCGTGGCTAAATTCGTTGCAAAATTCGTTGCAAAATTCGTCGCAAATTATTCGTTGCAAAAATCGTGGTAAAATTCATCGGTAATTATTCGTGGTAAAATTCATGGCAAAACGAATTTCCGACGAATTAGCGACGAAAAAAAATTCGTCGCTAATTCGGCGTCGGAAATTTTTTGCGACAAAAAATTTTAATTTTTCGTTGGTAATTTGAGACGAAAACAAAGTCGTGGCAAAATTCGTGGGAAATTTCCCACGAATTTTGCAGCGAAATTCAAATTTTCGGCATAGGCGGCTTTTTTCAATTTCGTGGCAAAATTCGTGGGAAAACCCGGTATTTTGCCATGAACAAAAAAATTCATCGGAAAATTTTTTTTTCGCAAATTTTGGCGACGAAAATTTGAATTTTCGTTGGTAATTTGCGACGAAAATTAATTCGTGGCTAATTATTCATTGCAAAATTCATGGCTAAATTAGTTGCAAAATTTGTTGGAAAATTTGTTGCAAAATATTCGTTGCAAATATCGTGGGAAATCACGAATTTTGCCGCAAAAAAATTTCAATTTTCGTTGGTAAATTGCGACAAAAGCAAATTCGTGGCTAAATTCGTGGGAAAATTCGTTGCAAAATTTGTCGCTAATTATTCGTTACAAAAATCGTGGGAAATCGCAAAATTTTCCGACAAAAAATTTAATTTTTCGTTGGTAATTTGAGACGAAAATAGTGTCGTGGCAAAATTTATGGGAAATTTCCCACGAATTTTTGCCACGAAATTCAAATTTTCGGCATAGGCGGCTTTTTTCAATTTCGTGGCAAAATTCGTGGGAATTTCCCACGAATTTTGCCACGAAATTGAAAAACCCGGTATTTTGTCACGGAAAAAAATTTCGTCGAAAATTTTTTTTTCGCAAATTTTGGCGACAAAAATTTGAATTTTCGTTGGTAATCTGCGACGAAAATTAATTCGTGGCTAATTATTCATTGCAAAATTCGTGGCTAAATTAGTTGCAAAATTCGTTGGAAAATTTGTCGCAA